TTCTTATGTTCTTATGTTCTTATGTTCTTATGTGGGTTTTTTTTTTGTTGCGTGTGAGCCCAGAGGCTCTGCAACTGTTATGATTTGTCCTTTGCAGGCTAGTGGACTGAGAATTTTGTGATGTTTTCTTGAAATTAAATTATTTAGTTCATTCTCATGCTGATTCTGATTTTTCTTGGCCAAATCCCCTTCCATTAAACAGCGTCCGCTAAGCTACCACCACAACATGGCACCCATTTCTTTTCAAATGTTTAAAAACTAGGTAAAACAAAGTCACTGCAGCACCCTCTACTCCCCTATCAGGCCTGTAAGCAAACTGCATGGGGTTAAGTTCATGCTTAATTTTCCATGGGATTTCAGACTCACTAATTTTTCTAATGTTTTCACTGCTTTGAATCTTTAACAACTTCTCTATGAAGACTGAAATGTTAACAAGTAAATGAAGATTGTAAATCAACAGAGAGAAGATATTATGTGGGAGTACAAACAAAAACAAAAAAATAATTTTAAAAAATGGAGGAAGAAGCCTTAGTTGACGGCTTGCTACACATACTGGCACTTTCTTGCAAATGACATTTGAATTTTATGACATACAATCACTGGATAATAAACACTGGATAATTTTCCTCAACATTTTCACAGATTTTCACAGAAGTCTTCAAACTAGATAAAGAGAACCCAGTTAAGCAAATAGCATAAACAAATTATACTTTCCCTTTATTTACTGAGGAAAATTATCCAGTGTTACCTATTTGTATTGTGGAAAAAAGCTGTGAACCTTCTCGACATGTGTGGGTGGCCCCACGTGCCCATTGGTTCCAACATTGGGCAACTGTGACATCTGCATGCCCCACATGTCGGACAATTGTATGATACAACCACCTGGCCTCATGTAAACCCACAATGCGACCCCTATCAAACTCCATCAAGTGTTGCATATCCAAACATTTATATACCCATTGCTGGTCTGCACATGTACCAAATTACATCCAAATTAGACCATTACTTCTGGGTGCTTAACTATTTTTTGTCACTGAGTGTATTTGTACACTTTAGAATGGGATAAACCGGGGAAAATTAAAACAAATGATAAATCAAGTTCATGTGCAATTCAGCTAAACAAAGGAAATCTGTAGTTTATCAGAGGATTTTGTTGGGTTTTGTATCAGCATGCCTCGCCACCAGCTATGATACTATGGCCTGCCTGCCTGAGCTGCCTGTTTGTGCCTGGACCCCCTTATTAAGTACAACCAGATTATTTGTGCTTTTCAGCAGATGGCCGGAGTAGCCCAGAGAAAGCAAAATTATGTCATTTAATTTTTTTCTGAGCCCAACTTAATGCACCCACAAAAAACCATTACATCTCATGAGAATAAAAAAGACAGATTCAAGATTCAACATTTCTCAACATCCACTTCTAGGAAAAAAAAATGGTTACAAGGGGGTAAAATTTATGTTTTCAATTTTAAAAATGACACAAAATGTACATGTCATGGTAATGAAATTGTAAGAATAACCCATATACTCCACTTTGTCTTAATTCAACATTAACTTAGGGATTTAATTGTACATTTTTATGATTGCAAATTAATTGCTGTTATTATTTTTAATCGATTCACAGCACAGCACACATTGTACCATTGATACAATTTAATTGTTTCTGAAGCACAGCTGTACACAGTGAATCGCTGTAGACCCAGCTGATGAACGAAACAATGCTATTATACAGTATTATATATGTACACAACATCCACCACGTATTCCTGTCCTGTCCTGTACATTAATTTAAAGATTATTTTATGCATATTTATCCCCAATCCCTTATGTCATTATATTCGTATAAGTTTGTTCTTTTAACTCATTATTTTGGTAAGTAGTTCTTATTTCAGATATTATGTTGCAAGTTTTATTCATGTTACTTTTACTTTATTCAACTTTTGTGACAGGATGTTTCCTCTACATTAAAGAACACAATTTCTTATATAAATGTTATGCATGGAGGGATTAAAAAAAAAATATAAAATCTTATTTTATTGATTCTAAAATACAAAATATGTAAATTACCACTGTCATCTGTCTTAATCCATTTTGAACAGAAATTACTATCCATCCATCCATCCATCCATTTTCATCTTTGACACCAATAAAACCAGAATTTCCATTTTAAAAAAAAATCTATTTCAGTTAATATTTCATTATTATTTATTTGTAAATGAAACCTATAAAAACACAGTTTTAACACAGTAAAAGTGTATAGCATTGTTTTAGCCTGTAACTTCATGTCTCACTTCTGTGTATAAAGTTTCTCTCTCCATGACTGCTCTCATATTCCTGTCTTTGATTATCTTGCCAGTGAAATTCAACGCAGCATAGTTCAGTCTATCAGCTTCATGGTTCTGAGAAGAAGGGACAAATTCAAACCCATTTTTCTGATTCATAACTGACAAGTTTATATGTGCCAAAAATCTAGTGATTTTTCACAAATCTTAATCAAATACTTAAATGGATTTAAGAATCTCACCAATCAATTACTATTATATAATTGTAGTACTTTGTATTTGAAATGCATTTTGAATGTTAACAAATGTCATCAAAATGAGTGATAAAAAACATGGTGATGACAGAATTATTAAGATATGTATTTACCTCTTCAGTGGACAGCTTTTCATTTTGTCCTGTTTTAAATATATGAACACCGCCAATAAGGATATAGATATTGCACAATATACGTTTTCTGCAGAAATCCATCATTCCAAAGCTTATTCAAGATAAATTATATGCATACAATTTTTTGAATACATCATAAGCAATTTTATTTGAACTGTATTAAATTTACAGATTGCACTCAAACAGTTAAATCGCTGTAATTGTAAAATACACAAAGTTAATATTTGAATAACCATCACATTACTATATTTAAACTGCTGCATTCTGAATAAAATACCTTCAAAATGCTGGCAGGGTCTTCTTATGAGGTAAAGGAGAATGACAAACAGGATGAAAGTAACAGCCAAGATGGAACCCAGAAAATACACGATGTAGAGGAGGGCAATTGTATCTCCTGAAAATGTAGAGAAAATAATACAAATGCTACATAGATGAAGCTATTCTAAACGCTAATTTTTCCGCATTTTCCATCAAAACCAATTACCTATTCGACAGAAAACACCTGGGGAATTCAATGGAATGAAAATATGTTCTGATAATAGAGATTATGATAATATGCTAACAGTTAATATTAAATATGCTGTTGAAGACTATATTTAGATGAAATTCCCATATAAATAACAAAGAAAAATATAACTTATTTCTAAAAGATATCAAACATTTTTTTTTATTACAGAATAGCCTATATTGTTAACTACAGTAATAATAGATTACTTTAACTTGCATTTTGGTATTTCTATTACTAAAATAAAAAAAATAAAAAATTCCTTACCTGAAAAGTTTACAACTGTCCCATTCCCAAAGAGGATCTCCCCACACATGGCCACAGCACAGTAGTAAGTCCCAGCATCAGAGAGGCTGAGGTTCCTCTTGGGGAGGCTGTAGACACAGCTCTGTGTAGGAGAGCCAGCCTCAGGGCTCTTCTCACACTCATCACTCCTGTTCCCATGGGTGTAAATGACTCCTGGAAGGGATTCTCCTGATCCATGTCTGAACCAGTAAACACTGTGCTCTCCTGCACAGCTCTCAGTCTCTATTGTACACTGCAGGGTCACAGAGTCTCCTGGCTGCACTGTGTCAGACACAGGCTGCTGAATCACAGTCCTGCTCTTTGAATCTATGCCTAAAAAGAGTAATAAAATTTCCTGGTAGATTATGTCAAATAATGAATAATGTTTAATTTCGATTTTGTATGAAAACCATAGACAAGATATTTAATGTGTAAAATGTAGATTATAGTAATAAATATTATTTGCATAAATATTATTTATATTGTTCCAATATACATCTAATATTCAGTTGTGTTATTTATATATAAACAGAATATTGTTTGTATTACATTGAATTACATACATTTCACACAAAATAGCACAGAGAATTTAATGCATTCATTATAAAATGAAAGACATTCAATGACAGTACCTGTTAATAAAAGTGTTCCATTTCCAAAATGCAGCACATTTATAATTGTTACTCCACAGTAATACACTGCTGAATCAGAATCCTGTGTGTTTGAAATGATCAGGTGATTTTCTCCTGTGCCAACCTGCACTCTGAGGCGGGAGTCACTTTTAAACTCATCATAAAAAATCGGACGTCCTTCATAATTATAGAATGTGGATATGAGGCAAGGTTTCCATCCCCCTGATTGTTTGTACCAAGACAAATAAGCTGGATCATTTGTCTCATAGAAGCACTGTAGAGTTACTGTGTCCCCAACCTGGGATGTTACCAAAGGATCTGGTTGAATGACATCTATAGTTTGTGATTTGTCTAATTGTGCTACAAAGGAAATCCAAAAAGAATTTATGCAAATTATTTTAAAATATAAAAGCAAACATAAATCTGAACAGTATTAATTACCAAAGACACATTTAATGTCAATATGCGAAAATCTGTTTTTTTCTTTTGTGATGTGTAAAATTTCATATAATTACCAAATAAAAATTGCAATGAGAATTAATAAACTATATAAAAATTTTCACTTACATTCTGTTAACAAAACAATAAGCAGAAGACTGACATTCATTATCCACATATGTCCAGTAAAATTTTATGTTCTATTGCCTTCACACTCCACTTAATACAATCAACAGGTCAGAGAAAATCAAGAGACTTAACTGACTTAGTGGTGAGAAACCAGATAGCACCTTCCAAAGCTAATGAATATTTTACACTTCTATCTTCTGTCTTGATCTTGACGTCTTTCTTTTGGTCACCACCCCTTCTCAGAAATCCTCCTCTGCATCCTGAACATCATCAAGGTGGTGCTCAAAACTGTCTTGAGCTGTCTTTAATATTTAAATGTAACCACATTTCAATATAGTCTGCATGATACTACAACTCACATTTACATTGCATTTATTTAATTAGTTGACATTTTCATCCAAAGTGACATCAAAGTGAGGTAAATAGCCATTATTATTGTCAAAGAGACAACTAGGTGTAAATGCAGTGAAGCTGATCTTCCAGTGAATGGCCAGTTACAAAAGTATGAAGTACTCGAGCAGGAGGTATATTTCTTCAAAGCCATTTTTCGAATGTTTCAGTACTATCATATATAAAGCAATCTCTCCCCCTCTAAACAGACGTCCATATTGAAATTGGCTTGCAGCATTTATTGAAAGTACAATGTGGCTTGTAAATACTGCACCGAATGTATGTATTTTATGCTTACCTTCATACTAATGTCATCTGACTTGTGGATGAAACATTCAGACATCAAGTAATATAATTGCTGGTGTGGGAAAGCTGACTTAACTTGAGGAAAGAACCATGCAACATGGAATTTATGAGAACCCTCATTTTTTTGGTCAAGGTTGAATTCCCATTACAGGCTAAAGGTGAGAGTGGGGAACTAAAACAATTAAAATGCCATTTCAATGATGAGAGGATTTTTTTTATTTTCAAATTTGAATAATGAGCATTTCAAGTTCCATCCCGAGAGGAAAGATTTAATCAGTTTATATGCATCTATCTTATAACCACTTGTTCTGGTCAAAGTCACAGGGGGGTCTGAGTGCTGTCCTGGGCAGCAGATGGTAGAAGACTGGGGCAGACACACATGCACAGACATACTGTATGGGCAATTAAGAGATGTCAGTAATGGATTTTCTTTTATCATTTAATTTGTGGGTGGCTTATGTATATATGATAAAAACCTGTTATTTTGATGCTGTGGGAACCATTTTTTGGTCCCCACAAGGGGAAATTCGATTTTCTGAAAGTCTGACAATCAAAAAAAAAGAGAAATAATAATAATAATGGCAAGTCTTGTATTTTGTTTAGTTACTTACGGCTGGGTTGGGGTTAAGGTTGTCATTGTTAGAATTATGGTTTTTCCCCTAGAAATGAATGGACGATCCCCACAATGATATGAATACAAAAGTGTGCGTGTGTGCATATATGGGGGTCCCAGTACAGGGACAGCCAGGGTCCCTGGAGTGATTCGGTTCTGGTCACAGGCGAGTACTAACCTACTGAGTCACACTCCACTCTCCAATATGCATACTTCGGAAATCCAATTTGGTTTGGTGCTGTCATTTCTGGTCATTTTATATAAAGAAGATGAAATCCAGGCTAAAGTAATCTGGTTACAGCAGCTGATCACAACTCTGGAGAACACCTAATGCTCTTATGTTACCACTAGAAGGAGCCATCACTGCAGCCTTCATTGCAGATATCTATAACATTCGCTGCAATAATATAACAAAAAAATGCATTTACATGGCACTGTTCTTTGTAGATCATCTTATCAAAAGTATTATATAAGTACACTACTGAGAATTAAAGCAACATGCCCCATGTGAAAATGTTAATTTTGTCAGATTAATAACAGAAGCCAAGTATCTAATATTAAACATGCCTTTATAATGTGTTTATACGTTACTCTCCATATTTACTTATGACAAATAACACAAAGTTGAATTTTAACCATAAAACACAGCAGCCTTCCCAGTTCATTCATTTCCAGATCTTTTAAAGCTGAAAAATGCATCATTATGTACCTCACTGAAACTGAAAACCTTTATTGTCATTTGTACAATGAAATTAAGTATGTGAGAGTCCTCCACAGTTTGACAAAGCTCAGCTCAGAGTTTCTGCTTCAGGAATATAACCATGTTACCTTCAGCAGCAACTCTGGCAGATAGGATTAGGGGTAGGGTTAGGGTTACCCTACAGTACAGGTATATAGTAATATCTTAGCTTTCATGTATCCCAACTTGGTCTCATATGAGACACACACACATATAGAGGTGAGAATGAAGTTTGGGGTCAGAATGCAGGGTCAGCTATATATCCAGCACCAGTGGAACATTTTCAGAGCTAAGGGCCATGCTCGGGGTGGGGGAGTGGTTTCTGTGGGCCTTATGCACTCGTGTTGGTCTCTCCTATATCCAGTTGCTTTGTATGAGTCAGGAAAGGAAAGTGCAGGGTTATGGAGAGAGGTCAGGAAACTTTACAGGCAGGACCAAGGACAGCAACTGCAAGAACTGGGCAATTCATTTGTCAAGAACAAAACACATTTAAATGTTTTATTTATGTATGTATGAAGTCTTGGCCTCCATGTCCAACTGACCCTCCGCTCCCCTCCCTCCGTTCTCACTCCCTCCTCTTGTTCTCATCCCCCGAGATCAGAACGTCATCCCCCGTGTTTATTTCCAGTTGTTGTTCTTTTGACTTTAATAATACCCCTTTTGTTTGCCACAAGGTCCCAGGTTTGTCGTAAGGTTCTTCATCCTGCCCAAAATGGCAGTTTGAGTAATTTCAAGTGAAAATGGATGTGTTACCTGACTTTTCCCCACCCTCAAAGAACCATGCCTGCTCCCCTTTTACAGCTATTAAGGATAATGTTTGACCCTTTGATATTTTCCTTAAAAGCAGGTGACAGAAATTTTCATTTTCACATCTGAACTCATGTGGGTAGTGGTAACTAACTCTGTTGTTGTTGGTCAGTGGCAAGTTTGTTTTTTCTGACCTGACTGTCACTCTCCAAGAAGGTGTCCGACAAGCTCTTTCCTGAACTCCAGTTGTGGGCTTAGTCAAACATCTCTTGTGACCTTTGACTCTTCTTAGGCTTCAAGGCCTCAAAAGACTCTGATTTAAGCTAGAGGTAATATTCACAACATTTCAAGAAATACTACCTTTTTGTATTCAATATTACCCACCCTTTCAAATGATACTGAGTTATCAGTTTTCAGTACATCATACTATAGTACTATAGTATATCATATAATATACTGTTTAGGTTAGTGGTTCTCAACCTTTTTTGCACCGCGACCCAATTTTCACCATGCCTGCTCAGTCGCGACCCTATATCAGGTATAGGTTTAAATAAATTGTATGATCATTTGATATGATGTGATTTATCATGGTGTGACAGAGTTATTTGGCAATACTGTGATTTTTTTATGAGGAAGTTAACTGAGATTAATATGCTAAATATTCAACTGATTAAAAAAAGTACTGATGTTATGCTTAATGTCTTCAATAGTAAATATGCCGATAATCTTAAAATTTAATTCACAATGTTCTTTGCAGCTGTCTTACTTTTATTATTTTATCACGCAGCACATGCATACACACATGCTTTTATATGTGCATGAGGAAGTTGGTTTGAGAACTGCAGGCTTGTGGCTGCGCTTGACCTCTGTTCTAAATAATGATTTAGAAACTGGCCAACTTTCCACCGCTTGTTAGCTTGCAAACAAGCAAAAACCACAGGGTAGTCTCACTGTACGAAAAGAAGGACAACAAACTGACCTGGCAGTATCTTGGAAACTAGCTGCTTAAAAAGAAAAACTATAATCTGCTCAGCTCTCTAGCAAGTTTTGAACAAAGATTACCAGAAATATATATAGTTTTTTGCCTTTAATTTTGATGTGTTGGAAGCATCTCACCACCATCTCAGACAACAATATCTTGAGAGAGAGGCTTCCTAAAGTGAAAGAAATACTGCCGTGTGCATGTGGCTTATGTATATATTACATTGTGAGGGCCAAATGTCCCCACAATGTGATACAAACCAGTTATTTTGACATTGTGGAGACCATCCCCCAAAGGGGAAACTCAATTATAAAAAAATATGTGACTCCAATTAAAAAACAAAAAATGTCAAAGGTTTTGTATTATGTTTGGTTACTTATAACTTAGGGGTTAAGGATGTCATTCTTAGTATTAGAGCTTTTCCCATAGAAATGAACTGAAGGTCCCCATCAAGACAGGAATACAAACGTGTGTGTGAGTGTGTGGATTAGGTTTATATTTCAATGTGGGGACCAAATGTCCCCCACAATGTAATAAAAACCTGTTATTTTGACCATTTTAGGTCCCCACAAAGATCTGTGAATGCAATCAAAGTAGAAATGCCAAATGTCTTGTATTTTGTTTGGCTACTTGTTAAGGATAGGGCTGGGTAGGGGTTAAGATCATCATGTTGTGAGTTTTCCCCATAGGAATGAATGGAGTCCCTACAAAGATATACTTACAAACTTTTTATGTATTCAAGCATATAAAGTTACATACTGTAGAACTTACATAGAACATTTGGCATTTATCGACATACTGGCCGTGTGGTTTTCACACTCTGAGGCACAAACACCATTTCCTCTGTGTGTCGTTCTTTCTATATAGAGCGGAGGTGATGCTGGCAATGGAAAATTACTGACCACATTTGTAAACAGCACTCTTGAGGTTTAACCAACCAGCAATACTGAGAATGTTGTTTTCTTTTAATAATTCTTCATTTATGTAACCTATAATCTTAATATATAGTTCATAATGCATGTTTTTTCTTGGTTCATATTGGTGTTGTCCTTTAAAATTCAGTAACCATCAAGTTCTGCGTAAAGATTGACATTTGGTTGACCTCTGTTTCTTGCACTGCTGCAAAGAAAGCAGTATGTATGTCACACTTTTGATTCTTATTTGCACATTAATTTTGTCTAAAGTGTTTAGAACATTAACCCTATATGGCCTGACAGGTCCATGATGAATTGGGCTGTTTTTTGCCTCTTTGGAATGGTTACTTTATATTACTTTATAACTTCAGATATAATTGTCAGCAACATGTCTAATACCTAAAATCAAAGCTGACCACTGTACCATTAATTGCGGTAAGTTGCATGATTGAAATTCATAGGCAACTTCTGTATAATTTATGG